GTAAAATTAATATTAACTATAGTTTTTCTACTGACTCAGTCTCGTGATACTTCTCAGTGTGCATTCACGCGTCATAGAGAGTGACCGTTCACTGAGATCACTCAGAGAACAGCTCCGGTATTCTATTAAATAATAATGAATGCGGATAATTCGTGTTAATTGTTTCTTTGATCAATTATAATAATTGTTAGTTTCTTTGAATTGTGGTTTAAAGGACAATTGCTTAATAAGTGAGTTGTATATTTTCCTTTTAAGTCAATAATTATTTTTATTCAAGTTTTCTTGCTGGTTTATTCGCTTTCTTCGGTATTTTTTAATATTATATCCATGAGAAAGCATCTCATTCAGCTTGTGAAGTATCACGCGCAAAACTGTCAGGTAGATTGTGATGACAGGTATTGATTTAGTTTGAGATATGAATGTATAGGCTTTCATAAAAAGGTAAAAAGGTAGGTAGCTTATTATTAAAAAGCTAGTATGCGACAACTGGGGCCGAGTGGCTCGCACGCCGGTTTCAAGTCGCCACTTTCGAGGACTCGGGTTCGATTCACGGTCGGGTCAATGTTGAAAAACAAATTTTACATATCGTCTCGTTTTGTGGTACCTCACCTTAGTTGTTCGTATTTCTATAAAACAAGTGCTATCATCATCATCATTGGTCTATTAATATCCCCACTGTGCCCCAACACAGAATCTAACCAAATAGGGATCATGAATTTTAATCCAATTTTTGATCGCTCATCCTATAACCGGGCCTTGCGATAGTTTCATAATTTCAGCGTCGCAGATCGAACGCGATAACCTATGTGACGTGTCTAATTATTTTATATAATTTGTAAGAATCATAAGTAGCTCGGTGGCGTAGTGGATATGCGCCGCGGCCCGCGATCGTTGTCGTTAAGCAACTTTCGCAAGGGTCGGTCACGGGATGGGTGACCAAAAAATTATTATCTCGAGCTACTCCGTGCTTCGGAAGGCACGTTAAGCCGTTGGTTCCGGCTGCATTGTCATGGCCCATCCCCCTTAACCATCCATAAGGAAGGCCTGAGCCCCTGCAGTGAGGACGTAAAAGGGCTGTTGATGATGATGATGTAAGAATCATATTGTAAGTAATAACGATTATTTAAGACGCCATACCCCAATTATAATTTATTTTGTCCTTTCTGTAATGATTGTCTGAAGAGATCGCGTCTAGGCTAGAAGGCTGCCGATTTTAATGATTGTAAGATTTAATATACGTATATTTTGACTGAATTTGAATTCAATTTTGACTGTAAATTCAATGTACTAAGAATATTTCATTCATTCATCTTTGATTATGTGTTACTACGGAATAACATTAAAAAAAATCCAAATTAAAATATTATATTTTATAATTAATCAATTTTGCATAGGTTAACTGGTCAATATTTTAACATATTTTTTTTAACATCAAAAATACCATATGTATAATAACAAGTTTAATAATAAGAATAGAAGTGGTCTTAATAAGGACTGAAAGTTTGGAGTCAAGGCGTTGGTAACATACAGGCAATACACAGATAACGTCGAGAAGAGGACCTAGTCAATTTCAATTGTATTCTATGATAAAAAATTATTTCTCAATTAAATTTAAATGAACTTTCAAAAATATAGTTATAATGTTTGAAAAACGACCATTTGTATCAAACAGGTTTGCGCAGAGATGTCTTAAACCAGATTTGGTTGGTTTGATACAAGTTATGAGTGTCAAGGTCCGAAAATGATACATAAACCAGGCCTCGACGTTTTCACACATGCCTTAAGCTGTTTGCTTATGAACACGTCATTTTAAACATTCGAATGAGCCGCAACGGTCGGCAAATTCTTCTAAATCTACACTTATATTATAAAAGGAAAGATTTTATTGTTTGTTTGTTTGTAATGGATAAACTCAGAAAATATAGTGCTGTAAGCTGTAATATGTAATTAAAGATAATATAAATTTTTCAGAAGAAGTAAAAACTGAATCACAATTAAAAAAAAGTTGTCAATCACAAGTAATATTCTGGCATATAACTATAAATTTATTAACGTTGATGATGTTCTTTCTTTTCTACCCTGAACATCAAATCTCTTAACTCAACTATCTCTAAACGATATTTATAATGTAATATCCAATTCAGTGTAAATGATTGCTAGAATGAATTGATGGAGCTAGAAAATGTTTGATGTCTCACGGCCGGTTTCTGAATTGAGAAAAGCACAAAATCTCAACTGATCATTCTCGATAACTTAAGTTTTTTACGTTTCATATAGAAATAAGTCCTAGTTTTATCAGATTGCTGTCAACTGATTATTAAAAAAATATATAAATCAGTAACGAAAACCTGTTAAATTGATGTATAATGTGGCTTGAGCACGGTTTGAGACGTGCTCGACTTCAAATTCTCAATTCAGAGACCGGGTGTTAGTGATTGACATGTGTACTTACCCACAAATGTCTTGTTTTAAATACAACTGTATAATGAATATTCCAAAAGGTTATGTATGTATAGGAATTTATGTAAATATGTTTCTATTTTCTTTATTATTAAAATAATTAATACGTATGAATTTCTATGTGAATTCTATGTGTTAAATATAATTTAACGACGATATATATTTAAAGATGGCATAGAAAAACATTTTGTGAGTACATTAAACCAAACTTTAGCTGTTGTTGAAATATGTACACTATAGCTACAAAGTTTACGTAGAGCACAGCGGCGTCACATCATAGAGGTGTAATAGTATAAAACCTATTTGAAGAGGAAATTATAGTTTTATTTCATTGACGCTCTATATCGTGACAGCGCTGCGTTCGGCGACGAGTTCAAGGTTGAATTTTTTTTAACACGTTCACTTGTGTTTTTTTTTTATTTTTGCCTATTAGTGTATGATAAATATCAAAAAAACATCATGCAAAAGATATCCATAACAATCTCATTGATTTGGCTATAAAAAAATTATAGGCTCTCAGATGGATTTAAATATCATTCCACTGAAAATGTTGCCTCTTCTCAGTGAATCGTTAAAAAAAACTCGTTCTATGAACCGGTGTTGCCAGAAAATTAAGAAAAAATTAACGTGTAACAATTAATCAAGTAAAACGACATGCTGTCTTCCTTTTAAGTTCCTAACTTTATGATGCTTACGTTTTAACATTTTCCTCTTGACGCGACGTAAGCAAGTATAATTTTGAGTAATGTTTTACTTAGCCTTTAGCCTTTGACAATAATAAGTCACTATATACAATAACATGGTTTTTTTCCTTAATATGAAAATTGTGAAACGCGAATCTTGTAAATTGAAGTTCGTATGGAAACTCGTGCGTCATGATGAATTCTAAACGAGGCAACTTCTAGAGCAAAAATTATGAAATATAAAAGAAACAAACTATATTTTGTGACATATCAAATGAAGAACTTATTGTTATGAAATTAAGGACACATATTTTTTTAATTATTTATGAACTTATTAAAGAAAAAGTAAAAAATTGAATTTACAAAACTGAGGCAAAAATTTAGAAAAAAAAAAATACATAATACAATTCTCCCAATAAACGGTCTCTTGCCATATGAACCATTGGCAAAGGGGGCATATAACAACCTAGACTAAATAAATAAATTTATGTTCGATATTATATATAGAATAAAAAATATCTATAAAATATTTTTAATGAAAAACGCTTAATAACCCACTTTGTCTTTGACTCTCTGAGATAGGACTCGAACCCATGACATGGAAGAAATAGTTTTGGGTTTTATAGTGGATTTTTAAGCATGTTTCAATATTAACACTTCAGTACAGCATTGTGTATGGAAAATTGATCAAATATCATATCAATAAAAAGTAAATTAGCTGTCGGTTCCAGACAATTTATGCCATTTAAAAAGCTACATACCGTTTATGGAAACATCTCAAACTTATTAATAACCTTTGTTTTTGTATCATATCTTTAAAACGCAAGTATTTTTATAATTATCGAAAGATGACTCATTACTGATAAAGATAGAATAATCACAAGATTGTTGTTTTCAAGACAGTATATGAATGCCATAAAAGTAAATGGTAAAATAAAAAACGTAAAGATTAATTTCAACTTTCGACTTCTCAAAATGACAAGCAACTGACAGTATCACGACATTACTAAATAACAACCGTGTTACATTAAATATGTGCGTTCACGAAACGTTAATTGGCTTATTGCTTAATAACTCGGCGCAGTATTTTTATAAAATTTGAATGACAATTTTTTTTATTAAATTTCGTGCTTTCATCGATTATTATCCACGTGCATACAAAGTTCACACATTCTTTAAATAATAGTCTAGATATCAATTAATTTTTATCTCAACACTTATTAATTACGGGATATTTTATCTAATAATATAAATTTTTAACTTTAAGTTATTATATTTATTAAATACAAGCAGACACACTGCGTAGTGATTTTTTTCTTATAACTTTTGTTATGAAAACGTGTAATAAGATTATTACGTAAACTGGGCTCAGCAGTATTATCTTGTAATAAAATCAGCAATGCACTCGACGTCGTGCGCAGCGGCGGCACACGGCGTAGAGATCTAATCAAATAAAAACTTCACAATGTGATCGTGAATAATAAATAGCCTACGTCATCTGAGTACGGTATAGTTTTCTTACCCGTAGGTGAGAGTTTTTAAAATTGGTTTAGTTTTGCAGCATATCTAACGCAAACAAACAAATAGTATTACCATCTATACATAAAAGCTGTTCATTAGTATATAAGTTTGATTGTTATTTATGTCTAGTCTTTTGTTTCTTAAATAATTATAATTTTGTCCATGTACGAAGTTCGATGAGCTCTATGTAGATATTCGCTTTGCTACTTTCGTAAAGGCTGGCATCAGACAATTGACTAATTTATATCTTTAGCTCCCTTAATCTTTGAAAAAAGTGGTCCGCTTTAAGTGATGTGATTTAAATTTAAGTATATTCATTTTATATTTCCAGCCAAAATGTCCAGTGCAGTGAAACCGTTCCCGGTTGAGAAGGAGTACGAGAAGAATCCCAACATAAAACCGGAGGATATAAAGAAACTACGCGAATGGCTAAAGACACAACCACACCTCCCAGCGGACCACTTGACAGGTGATCACCTATAAATATATTTATATAGAAAAGTACACAAGATATAGTTTATGTTGTTTGGTATAACAGTCACAAAATTCATAAGTTATGCTAAATAGTGTCCAAGGTAGATAGTGTTACTTTTTTCCTTTAGAATCTTAGGTTTCGTTTTGTATTATATTTCCTTCATCTTCCCTAATCTTTCCTTTGCTATTCTCAACGAATAGGGTATAGTTTGCTTGAGCACTTGATAAGATCAAGTCGAATTCGAGCTATACAACCTTAGATTATAAGCTTTTAACTATTTAAGCAACGAAATTATCAAATACTCAATTTGTTATTTACTTTTATATAACCATTACTCGACTTGATAGTAGTATAACGGTAGAGTAAGCGACCCGTTAAGCGAATAATATTTTGACCATATTGAATGCCCTATTAGTATTTTTTTTTAATTCTAGAGAATTGTTAGTAACCAATAGATTACAAAATCAAACTGCGATTCTGGTTTTTAAAACATATTCAATGTTGTGAAGGTTACCGTGTTTCTTAGTCGATGACCTTAAATCATGTCTGGTTGTTTAGGGACATGTTCCATCGATTATAATCCAAGAAACGAGTTAAAAAGAGATAGCTGGCCAACCAGCAACGAATAGAGCATCTATTAGGATATTATTTTTTTAAATAGCCATTATTCATTTCCTCTGCTAAATTGGAAATAGGAAAAAAATGAGCAGAGCTATTCAAAAGAGTATATTAATATTTCCAATTTGAACGGAGATAATGTTGACCTTGTCAACCATATGACATCAGGGTTACTTTACAATATGAATTTACTAATTAATATTATTTTGAACGGTTACCTAAATACGAATCTACGAGAAAGAGGGTGCATCAGCCATGAAGATACCATTAGCACACATTGTAAATCCTTCTGTAATTGACTGATAACTTAAACTATGACTTTGTGCCATAAGCACCGCCGAATGGTTAATGATCCGTCGGTTCCTAGCATATATTTTAGCAAGTGAAAAAAGTTCCATCATCGTAGTATAGTCCCCGGCTGGTCTACCACTCATACAGTGTCGACGTCTCCCGCGTTCTAGAAGTGAGTGTTTTCCTCAGTTTCTTAATCACTGCATGTTCATAGTTCTAAAGTAAATATTTACTTTCTGGTTTGGCGTGTACATCTTAGGCCACATTCTACTTACCATAATGTGAGGTGACCGTTAAAAGCCAACTCAATTTTATAATCTAAAGCCCTTCTTTTGAGCTATAAGCAAGTATGCAAATCTTATGAAAGAATATTCATTAACCAGACTTACACCGTTCTCATAGGTTACGTTTTGACCCTGTATATTATTCCTAGAAAAAATCTAATTAAGAATAAAATTAAGAATCTAAATAATACACGTCGTTCAAAATGTAGACATAAACTTGTTGGGTAAAGACAATATATATTAACATGTTTTTTTGTGTACCAGTTCTTGTCTTGATTGCAGAGAAAATAATTTAATATTTGTGTTAATAATTGTATATTAAAGTGTAAATAAATCTAAAAGTTGATGATGTTGAATACTAGAACCCCCAAATTTAAGGTCTTTTTAGGGTTCCGTAGTAAACATGGCACCCTTATAGTTTCGCCATGACCGTTCCTCCGCAGTTTAGCTTAAAAACTATTGGCACTAGGAAGTTGCGAGTTGGCATTACGCCGACTAAGAGGTATAGTAAAATTACGGGAAAAAAAAATTAAGGTAAATCCTCTACAAGTAAAGTGAGGACGATATTTATTTCGTCTTCCCAGTAGTGTGAAACGTCGTTGGATAAGTCGTTCAAAAACACTGAGGGTATGGAAAGGTTGTTTTTCGGTTTAGTAAACTTAACCGAGTAGTTCGCACGCCGGTTTCAAGGTGTCGCCATCTGTGAGGTCCCGGATTCGATTCCCGGTCGGGTCAATGTAGAAAATGAACTTTTCTATATTGTCTCGGGTCTGGGTGTTATGGTACCTTCGTTGTCTCATATACTGAATAATAACGGGGGGTTTAACTGCTAATCTTGGAACCTGAGCAATGTATGTAATGTTGTTTAATATTTATATTTATTTATTTATTATTAAGCTTTAAAGAGTTAATTTTCTTTAGAGTAAAATGTTCCTCCCCTCTCAGCCAACTAAATGGTTGTCGTTTAAAGTTAGTACTTATATATAACGAAGTTAAAAGGAAAATTATGACACTTAAATTGGTTTTACAAGTTTGCGAGTAATTGGTGACCAATTTTATTTAACCCGAAAATTTGTAACAACTCTATAGAAAACAACAAAGGTGATTTTTTTTATTGAAAATGGTGCGGAACCCTGATGCGCGAGACCGACTCGCTCAGTAAACTATTCAAGTCCAATATCCTGATTTAAATTTAAACCAATACCTGCTGCCCGACTGGTTCCGTCGGTTGCAATATGTAAGCTGACTGCCAAGAGGTTTTATTATAGCTCTTGATAGTACATAGTAGGTAGTCGGTACCTATAGAAAATTTTGTTCTCAGTGATCAACAGCTATTAATATATATAATGTTCCATGTCCCCTTATATACCTAATAGTAATAGCAGATGCGTTACCGCAGCACGAGAGAAACTCTAGCTAGATAGTGAAATTTTTGGTCACCCATCCAAATACTTCACTTTCGCATATCTTGGAAACTACAGCACCATTAAGCTCTTTCTTCAATTAATTAAGACAGCGGTTAGAGAAATACCTTATTTGTGTACGTAAATGTTACGTATTGTTGTAGCGACCTTCGCGGTCCGGTCGGATGTGTAACGTTTTATCTGTAGATATTGAAATCAAGGCATGGATGAGGTACGAAAAGCCATTTTGTTTGGATAGTCAATGTCAACGTTGTGATAAACGAAAGAAAAGTAGTCTTTGTCGAATTTCTTATTGGCTTCCGAATGAAGTTTCCCAGCCTTAGGTAGGATGTAGGATCTACGTAGTGAAGGCTTAGTTTCAAGTCAAATAAATATCTAGTTTCATCTACTAATAGATACGTAAGTTATGTTCTTAAATTATTTACAATACTATGAAAGTAAAAACCGTCATATTTGACTGAATAAGGAAAGAAGTTCATATCGGCTTTTTTTTGTTGTTTTGTTTTGCGAAAGTCGGAAGAGTTACGTTGAAAGTATATTTTCTGTTAAATGTTACTTAATATATGGATAATGTAAGCAGATTAAATACTCAAAGACAACATTTTCTAATAATCGGTACAATATTTCACTTATGGCGTGTCTAGAGTTGGTTTAGATGTCATCATCATCATCATCATCATCAGCCCATATTCGTCCACTGCTGGACATAGGCCTCCCCAATTGCACGCCATCTACTTCTATTTTCGGCTGTTCGCATCCAGCTCCTGCCAGCCATCTTGCGCAAATCATCACTCCACCGCGCCTGAGGACGTCCTACACTACGTTTGCCGAGACGCGGTCTCCACTCAAGAACTCGTTTACACCAACGGTTATCGGTTCTGCGGCTAATATGGCCAGCCCACTGCCACTTCAGCTTGCTAATCCGGTGGGCTATGTCGATAACCTTGGTTCTCTGCCGGATCACCTCATTTTTTATTCGATCCCGCAGAGAAACGCCGAGCATAGCCCTTTCCATAGCCCGCTGAGCGACCTTCAACTTGTGGACCAGCCGTGCCGTCAGTGTCCACGTTTCGGCTCCGTATGTCATAACGGGTAGGACGCATTGATTAAAGACTTTCGTCTTTAGGCACTGCGGGATCGACGATGTGAAGACCTGACGTAGTTTTCCAAACGCTGCCCAACCTAGCCGAACTCTTCCATTTACCTCGCTCTCGAAGTTGTTTCTACCTAACTGCAATGTTTGCCCGAGGTATACATATTTTGGAACAATTTCGAGAACGGCACCGCATACTGCAATCGGTTCCGGTAGTACGTGTTCGTTGAACATGACCTTGGTTTTATCCAAGTTCATCCGTAGGCCGATGCGCATAGAAGAGTCAGCCAGGTCATTCAGCATCTGTTGTAGGTCCTGCAGATTTTCTGCCATGATGACGATGTCGTCAGCAAATCTCAAGTGAGAGATGTACTCGCCATTGATGTTGATGCCACGTCCTTTCCAGTTCAGCGTCTTAAACATATCCTCCATTGCATTAGTAAACAATTTCGGAGACATAACGTCTCCTTTTCTCACTCCTCGATGCAACGGTATAGGACTTGTCTGCTGATTCTGTACTTGGACGGTCATGGTGGCGGCCTCATAAATACATCTTATCACTTGGATGTATCGCCAATCGACTTGGCATCGCTGCAGGGACTCCAGAACGGACCAGATCTCAATCGAGTCAAAGGCCTTCTCATAGTCCACAAATGCTAGACACAGGGGCTGATTATACTCTTCAGTCTTCTGTATAATCTGCCGCACTGTGTGGATGTGGTCTATGGTGCCGTATCCACTCCGAAACACAGCCTGCTCCGGTGGTTGGAATTCGTCAAGTCTTTGCGCAAGACGGTTCGTGACTACTCTAGAAAACAGCTTATAGACGTGGCTTAGAAGGGAAATGGGTCGATAGTTCTTCAGCAGGGTTTTGTCTCCCTTTTTGAAGAACAGGACGACTACACTCCTACTCCACGCCTGCGGAGTTCTCCCTTCGAAGAGGACTGCATTAAAAAGCTTTTGGAGCTCCTTCAGTACTGGTTTACCTCCTGCTTTTAATAATTCGGTTGTAATGCCATCCTCTCCAGGGCTTTTCCATTTTTAAGCTGTCTCAGAGCGATCTCGATTTCGCCAATGCTGACTTCTGGCAGATCTTCGGTGTAGTGGCGTGTTAATGTGGCTCTAGAATCCTCATTTCCGGGATCAGGTCGAGGTGCATGCGAAGCGTATAACCGGGCATAGAAATTTTCTACCTCTGAGAGGACCGCTGGCTTCGAAGCAACGACTTCCCTGCTTGCTGTGGTCAACTTCGTCAAGTGGCATCTTCCAAGAGATTGTACGAATACTTTTGACCCCCTGTTTTGCTCGATCGCTCTTTCTATAGCGTGAGTGTTGGAGCACCGGAGGTCATATCGTACGCGTTTGCTGATCTCCTGGTTTTGAGCACGTTTTCCTGACGAAGTGACAGGTGGGTTTTCACGTCGTTCCTTCATAAGCCCCAAAGTTCTATCCGAGAGCTTAGACTTCCCGCCCTTACGCTGCATGTTACAAAATTTCGTACCTTCTTCCCTGAGTATTCGAACCACATTTTCAAGGTTCTCGTCAACGTCAATTGTGGGTTCCATGGCAGCGAATCGGTTCTCAAGATTTGACTTGAACGTTTCAGATTCCATCATGGTTTGGAGTGGAGTAGGTCGGAGCCTGGCCTTCATCAAGCGGACACGTTCAGCTTTGAAGTCGATATTCAGAGAGCCTCGGACAAGTCGGTGATCGCTGCCGGTATTAAACCTATTGATCACGGAGACATCTCTGAATACGTGTTTTTTGTCCGCTATAATGAAGTCGATCTCATTTTTTGTCACATTGTCGGGGCTTTGCCACGTCCACTTCCTTTGGGGCTGTTTCCTAAAGAACGAGTTCATAAGGAAGAGCCCCTCCCGTTCGAGGAAGTTAACGAGCATTTGCCCCCTATCATTCCTGCTTCCAAATCCATGGGATCCTACTACCGATTCGCCGCAATTTTGTACTCCCACTTTAGCGTTAAAGTCCCCCATAACAACGCTGTAGTGGGTCTTAGTAGTGAAGTGGAGTGCCCTCGATATATCATCGTACATATTCTCCACTTCATCGTCCGAGTGTGTCGAGGTCGGTGCGTACACTTGAACAACCTTGAGGCTATACCTCTCAGTGAGCTTTACAATCAGGTACGCTACCCTGTTCGACACACTGGAAATTTCTACAACGTTGTTAGAAAGGGACTTATTGACAAGAAACCCAACGCCACCTTGGGATTGTTGGTCTCCCTCGCGGAAGTACATTAGGTGGCCTGATTCGAGGGTTATGGTATCCTCCCCCTCTCTTCGGACTTCACACAATCCCACTATGTGCCACCTAATCTTTCCAAGCTCCACCTCAAGTTGAGCCAGATGCGAGTCAAGCCGTAGCGTGCGTCCGTTGTACGTCGCCAGGGTCAGTCGGTTGTGGTGGCCTCCCGTAGCCCGGAGATTCTTAGCACCCCCTGCCTTGCCGTTACCATGGTCGCCACCATGACCAGGAATAGCGAGGCCGAGGCCGGTTTAGATGTGCACAATCTTTATAAACTGAGATCGTGTTTATGATACCTGTACCATATCATAGAAAAATAGTAATGTAAATCAGCTGGCACATATGAAGATTGATAGGTGTTTTTATCCCATATCAATCCTGATTGATATGTTCTCACTTTTATTATTTTTTAAAATTAAACCATGGAAGTTTGCGAGTTCTTTTCCTTCAGCCAAAGCTTAGTAAAAGACATCTTATTTACACCCAAAATATTTCAATTGACGTCACTTTTATTTCCCATTGAATATATAACTTTTTATTTACGTAACCATTTTTAATTGATGTTTTTTATCTTAATTGCGGCTGTTTTATGACTAAATCTTGATTCAGAAAAAACGTGTGTGCCTGTGAACTACCGACCTTTATTCAGTAAATTTACAGGTAAAAAACAATGACATTTTTTATTTGGTTTCTTCCTTTTCAGTTAGTTTGTTGTCACGTAGACGGGTGTTTTGCTTTTTTTAATTATAATTTTCTTTATGTCTTTTTAGTTAAACAAATTACCAGGTTTGTTCAGAAAGTGAAAGAAAAAGGTCAAAGTTTTAACTTTTGGAATCCTCGTATTAAGCTTTTCAACTTAATACACATATTGTAGTATATGAAAGAAGAAAAATATATAATGGCGTCGCATAGCCACCATATCTGGCTTTTGTAACGTAACCTATCTGAGAACACTTGGGTTACTAATACAAATCTAACGATACCTCAATTACTCGTATTTAAACCCGTTCGACGGCAAGTATATTACATACATACTAACAAGGTACGCGCGAAACAAATCTTAAAAAGAACAAGTTTCACAAATCTTTTCACACACATTATAGGCTACGATGGGATGGTCATGCTCTTAATTCTCTACATGAAATAAAAGAAAAAACTGGCCAAGTGTTAGTCGGTCTCGCGCATGAAGGGTTCCGTACTAAAACGGGGAAAAAAAAACATGTTTGTTGTCAAGTTGTTTTTTCATTAATTGACCCAAGTACCGAACTCGTCACAATTTGATAAAGACTTAGTTTGAAACGTGTGGATATTAGCTATTTTTATTCCAAAATATTATTTTAAACCTGTCAACAAAGTAGTGAAAAGTTTTGTTACTAGAATACCTAATTTACGAGTCGTCATGTCATGGTCAAGGTTGGAGAGGATACGATTTTACAATTCAACATACAAGGTTGCATGTCATTACATTTATGGTTTAATGATAAACGTAGTCATAATAATTATTGACATTTCCTCATTTCAATCGCCATCACCCTATTAATGTGATCACTGTTGCGGTACAGGCCTTTCCTATGATAAAAATTATATAGAAGGCTTATTCTAGTTCTCCGAAAACGAAACTTCGTCTATTTAAGAACACTAATATGACTCCAAAAAAACGCGTTTCTCGTTTGATCTAATTTTACCAGATAATTTTCATAGCTTTAATTTTAATAGAAAATATAGTTAAAATCCGAAATTTCCCGAAATGTTGTTCGGGGACAAACAGAGTAGGCCCTGAGGGTGGACGGGTCATAACTTAGCACCCGGTCCATGTGCTAACCTCTGCAGCCCGAACATTTCGAGAGAGAATTTTTAGTTACCCGTCCAACGACCAGTCATCCTTAAAGTTTTTTAACCTTCGCAATTGTAGACTGAATGCGCTAGCCAGTCAGTATCCATCGAGCTTCTCATTTGAGATTGAAATAGAAATTTTGATATTCTACTCTTCAAGTAGAACTATTTTTAAAATGATCTTTGCAAAAAATTAACGCGTAACAAATTAGATTAAACTGTGCACTGTGTATATACAAGATCAATTTACTCATAGATTATAAGTCTTTTCCTTCTCCGGCTTCTATGTCTTTGCATCTTTATGTTGTTTATCATGATTTAACTAATAATCTTGTTTGTGTTTGGTTGCAGATCTTGACCTAATGCTGACATACTACTGCTGTGACCGAAGTCAGGAAGTGTCCAAGCAGGTGCTAGACCTCCATTACACGCTGCGTACACTGTTCACAGTTTTCTTCAAAGACCGCTGCTTGGATAGAAAAATTGATCTATGCTTAGATACCATGTGAGTACTCTAACAGAATACTTGTTACTCTTTAAATTATTCCACTTTTTGCCCTAATCGGTATTTAGGTATAACAAAAAGATACTCTTTATCATGTTGAAACAAAAGATTATTAAGACTGACACTAACACAAACAAGAAATAAAATATTACATGTTTTCTATAAAAAAAATAGTACAACGAAATAAAAAATAGAGAAAAGTAAATAGTCTTCATTTATTTATGCTCAACAACACTTGAAAAAACTAACAGATCTTAAAACCGCACTGATATGCAATTGTCTTATGGAGAAACTGATATCAAGAGTATTTTTATTCTGCAAAAAGTGAATTAGAATTTTATCTAATATAGATCCAATAGCATCATGTAGATCCCACTTTAAGCTCGATGGCATACTTACGTTATCCTCAATCTATGTAAATTAGAGAATATTGTAAATTTATATGAAAACATGGAAATTTTTACTCACCAGTAAAGTTGGCTAAAAGAGAAACAATCGCACAGAAAATAAAATTAAAGTACCATTTCTGAAACTAAAATTAGTTACCACAGGACCTCACTGTATGACCATTAAAATCTATAATCATATCCTGAATAGCCTATAGGTAATTAACAAAAAAAAAAACAAAAAAGTTTAATTGCACAGCTGACAATATATTTATATCAATAGACAATCTCATAGACTAAGAACAATATAAATCACGATTAGTTAGTCGACTTTTCAACTCGCAGCTGTTAAAATTTAAATTCAAAGTTCAAACTGGTAATATATAATGCATATGTCGTAGCCAACTAGGTAAAAGATCCGTCCAATTAAGCGGCTAGCCCTATAATAGAATAGCGTCATTCATTTGCACGGCTAAACTTCGATCAGCTGAGTTCGACCATCACATTATCCTTCTACAGTGCGGCTGTGCAAAGCCCAGGGAACTGGTTGAATGTCAAGGATCACGAACCAAAACACAATTACTAATTTTATTAAATTTTTAATTTTCATCATCAGCTCTTTTACGTCCCCACTGCAGGGGTTCAGCCTTCCTTATGGGTGTTTAAGGAGAATGGGTCATGCTGCCACAATGCCAGGATAGATAACGGTTACCTTTCGAATCAAGGAGTATCTCGAGATAATAATATTTTGGTCACCTATCCCATGATCGACTCTTGCGGACGTTGTCTAACAACAACGATACAAGAGTCGAATAAATTTCTATTATTTTGTTTCAGATTATTTGCACCACTTCCGACACCCACATTGAAGGGAGACCGCGCGGTATACGTGCGCCTGCTGGATCCTGATCCACGCAACTTCTTCTTTCCAGAGACAGTGCGGACATTTATGATGATGTTCGATATGTGGCAGTACGAAGAAGGCACGTGGCCAGGGTGAGTTTATAAATTTCAAAACAAATAAAATATTTTATTTTAGCGGTTACCGCATTTATATCGGTAAAACTATGTCATTTACTTGTCGGCGCATCGATTGTACCACGATTGTTCGATATTGATTTCTAAACGAGAGTGAATTATTATTCACTCTGGCGAAATGTTAGACGGTCGGCCTTTATGTCTTTGATTAGAGGCGACATAGGTCGGACTTCATCGACGGAGGGCGTGATCATCGATACTTTTAATTTTATTAGAATGGTAACACTGACTTTGACAGTTCGTTAACAAAAAGCCAGCTGCCATCATTTCGACAGACATTCTGTTTCCGATTGTCGAGGAGTAAAGACATCCGAAGACATCACGCTGATCTCGTTATATTTTCGTATGAAAAGTAATAAAATGGAATAAGTCCACAGTGGTATACACGCCTGCAGTGTTATTTTAAAGATAGTCCTCCGATATGGACGATCTATTTGGGCTTCGTAATAGCCCCCTGAGACTAACCGCCGACATACTCATTTGATACACCGGTCGCAAATACACTACAGGCGCATAAGCAACGTCAAATCGCGCTATCATCATTACATGTGCTTCATGGTGCACTATTATCTTGCTAGTAAGAACTGGCGGCCAATTCTTATAAATAAATTTTGTTTAAATCGAATCGAAAACGGATCGAAACCAAACGAAACTACAGTTTTTAATGGTTTTCCTTTTCAACAAAGTGACATACGATACAATTCCTGTTCTATTTTAGTTGGAATTGTATCGTATGTCACTTAGTAGAATAGAAAAATCATTAAAAACTGTAGTTTCGTTCGGTTTTGATCCGTTTTCGATTCGATTTAAACAAAAATTATTTAGTAGAATTGGCTCCCTAGACGTGGGAGTATTTAAATGAAGTTTTACAGTTCTTACAATGAGCAGGGTGACGCCTGAACTTATAAGGGACCATAGCGGAACTTTTTAATTCAATTACTGTAGAACAAGAAAAGAAATTTATATATATATAAAGATAAATTCATTTTGCAGGTTCGTGCTCGTGATTGACATGGACCAAGCTGTGATGGGTCACATTACGCGTCTTGAAATTATGACAGTCCGACAGGTTCTTTATTTCTTACAGGTAAATTTGTTGAATATGTTAAAAATTAATTGAACGCGGAAAATTTTTTAACTTATAATTTATATAATAAAAATTGTCTTTTTTCAGGAAGCCATGTTGGTGAAATTGAAAGGAGTGCATTTTCTTAATGCCCCGCACTTCATGGATAAGCTCATGATGCTTCTGAAACCTTTTTTGAAGAAGGAATTGTTAGAAACGATGCATATACACCAGGTCAACTCGGATAGTTTTTATCAACACATGAGTAAGAAAGCCTTACCTAAAGAGGAGGGAGGCGAATATAAAGATCATGCCACTATAAGAGGTAAGGAATCCATTATAGAAATCAATATTTCTTTATGCTTTATAATTGAAAGCACTTTTAAGAATTAAATTATTCCGAGGTTTGATATAAAATCTCTTGTTACCCGACAGCAAATGAAGGGTTATGTATTTTATGTAGTATGTAATATTCTTCATTGCCTCATATCTTTGGAATCGGATTTAGATAATTGAGGTATCGTTACGTTTGTCTTAGAAGCCCAAGTATCCTTAGATAGTTAACGTTAAACAAATCAAATAAGACGGCTGTGCGACGCGATTATATTTCATTATATTTTTTTTTGTTTCAAATACTATAATATCGGTATCAAATAAAGGGCTTAATACGAGGATACCAAAAAGTATATCATGATTGTCATGACCGTAATACTAATGAAAATAATACAATGAGAAAATTTAAAAATATGGACTTTGTTCTTTCACTCTCTGAACCGACCCGATAATTTGTCGAACTAAAAAGACATAAATAAAATTGTAATTAAAAAAAAAAACAAAAACCCTGCCTGCGTGATAAACAACTATCTGAAAAGGAAGATACCAAATAAAAAATGACGTTTTTTTACTGTAAATTTATAATAAATGCTATTGAATTATATTTATGATTTAATTATTTACTGAATGAAGGTCGGTAGTTCACAGGCACACAAGTTTTTTCTGAATCAAGATTTAGTCATAAAACAGCCGCAGTTAACATAAAAAACATAAATTAAAATGGTTACGTAATAAAAAGTTATTCATACAAAAAGTTCTTAATTAAAGATGACGTCAATTAAACAAGATGAACTATGAAACTAGATAAAAAAATTATGCAAAAATAACAACAATACAAGGTATAATAATAACAACACCTGCAGTCTCGGATTGCCATGTTATGTTATTATAATCTCTTTGTTGATCGATTGTATATTTTTTAATTTCCAGATGAGCTTATTCAACGTATGAAAACCAACACTGACTTTCTCCGTGAAGAAAACAAGAAGAGAGTAAACGAGACACTGCGGCCTGGTAAAGCGAAGACTGTGGAGGACCTCTTCGGTATACAGGGCAGCTTCAAGAAGCTCGATATTGATTGACCTTGGCAATATTAAGTTAAAATAAGACTTCCGAATTTAACAGTAATGCATGGCAATACTGTAGGAATATCCAGGCGGTATACATAATGATAATACATATTATACTATTGTGCGGTCAAAAAAGAAAGCTGACAATTCTTTCTCATAATATTTGTATAAAATACTCGTACTACTGTTTAAAAATAATTTTTGTTTACCTTCTTTAACAGATTTTTCTAAAAACTAAATAATCTTTATGTACACCTATCAGGGAAAATAATCCAAATATATTTTTATTGAAATTTATACTTATTAAAATGAGTTTTGGTACATGTACTCACACGATTGGTGGAGCGGGAAGTCACTATTAAGCTAGTAAAGGATTTCAATTCAACTGTTAGATTTTTGTCAGGACTCACTGTTTAAGTACAGTTGCGACTGATATTAAATCATTAAGTATTTTAAAATAAATCATTAGGAATACTTGGCGTTTTATGTGGACGGCTCAACAGTGTAATAAGTTTTGCAAATATGGCGTAGAAACAACTTTATTGTATTGATAATAGATTTAAAATGTCTCTAATGAAGCGATGGATCTCTGGCCAGGCGGTACAGGACAAGATTGCACACACAGTTATGTACCTAACATACGCTTTTAATTCTATTCATATCTGTTTTGGCACTTATCGGTTGTAAGTAATGGTATTTGATAATTTATATATTATATCTATTTATTTATAAAAAAATAGCTTCGATTGATTTCGTTAGAGGATAATATGGATAGGGTGCAATTGTTTGTATATAACTTTAAAATATTTTTCATTTAGGTATTTTTTGTAGTAATTTCACTCGGTTTGTATGTTGAATGTTATTTATGGTTTCTGGTTGTTTTCATAATAAAAATATATAATTAACTACTCGTATTTCTTTTTCTTTATAGCAGAGTAATTTGCACGTGTCAAAGTTAGTATACGTAATATGATATACAAATGTTGGGACTGTAGATATATATAGTTGTTCGCTGAACTGTAATGACTGGAGGATATGAAAACTGTTATTGCGATATCTCTAAATAAATAATTGTATAATTAAACTTGAGCACTTTGCAAATTTATATTGTTTGTTGCCTAATAACGTGTCTGCCGTAATTTTAATTTGGAACAGCGCGTTTGTCATTTTTTTTTAAATAAATGAAGTGATTTTAAAATAACAATGATCATGTTTATGGGGTTTGTCTTTTTTTGCCTGACTTAGGGTCCTATGGAACAAAAACGGACATGTTGTTTGAAATCTTTAGAGAATAAAAAACGATAAACAAATTTAAAGAAATATGAGACACATTGGAAAAATCATAAGAACACTCGAGAGTCGCGACGTCTAAAGAGGTACTGCAGTAATATTCTGTAATAAGAAAGAAGAAGATCTTCTTTACTCTTTCTTCCTTATAAAAACAGCCTCGAACTTGTCTTGTGAATAGCATAACTGAGGAGTGGGGGAGGCACCTTCGTATTTAAAAAAAAAGAATGAGCTGTTACCTACTACTACCTATGCGGACATTTAACCGCGGCCCTTTACCCACCCACAACTGTATCTATGTGACCTATATGTATTACCGCTTAGTTTAATTACTTTTTGTCGGATGTTTAGAAATTCGTCGGCATTTTTTGCGGTCTGCCAAAATCATTCGACTGCGTTAGTCATGAAATACTGTTGGAGAAATTACAGAATTATAGTGTGCTATCTCTTTGCTTAAATCATATCTCTCTGCTAGAATTCAAAAAGTAGTAATTAATGAAGCGAAATCTTGCAGGGGCACCCATTACTATGGGCGTACCTCAGGGATCAGTATTAGGACCATTGCTTTTTCTAATTTACATTATTGATCTTCCTCACTTTACGAAGAATTTGTGCGAGACAGTATTATTTGCTGATGACACCTCTTTAGTGTTTAAAGTTAAGAGGGGCATTGATTGTTTTGACGATGTAAATGATGCTCTTCGACAATGTTCTACAGTGGTTTGATAATAATAATTTAAAGTTTAATTCAAATAAAACGAAATACATAAAGTTTGCATTACCTAATGTGAGGCATGTTAGTACACTTATAAATGTAAATAGTGAAAAAGTTGAGTTAGTGGAATCGACAAAGTTCCTTGATATTACACTAGATTCCCGACTGCAATGGAATCCTCATATTGATAACTTGTCAAGTAGACTGAGTTCTGCAGCATTTGCTGTTAAGAAAATTAGACTCTTGACAAATGTTGAAACGGCAATATTGGTATATTTTAGTTATTTTCATAGTGTAATGACCAGAGGTCGGAATTAGGTAGCGTTATTTATGTACTTGCATCGAAATGTTGATATTAATGTGGACCTTCCCGGGATTTCTTTCTTTCTTTCTTTCATTGATGTAAGTTTGGCAACGTCGTGCGTGCAGTAGTTTAAATTGTGTAAAAGTAAATAACTTTTTATTTAAAAAATCACGGGATTTTTCTGCTCTTTAAAATTAATCTCGGGATTTGAGGCATATCCACTTTATTCTTTCGCTGTATGAAATCAGTGTAAGTACATGAATAACTCTACCTAATTCCGACCACTGGTAATGACGTATGGTCTATTGTTGTGGGGTTCTGCGGCTAGCATTCTAGATATTTTTATCCTACAAAAGAGAGCTGTCCGCGCTATATATAATTTACGGTCTAGAGAATCTCTCAGAGATATATTTAAAGAAATAAATATTTTGACTGTTGCCTCTCAATACATCTATGAAATATGAAAAATATTATGTACGCAAGAAAACATTACGAATCCCTCACAAAAAAGTAGTGTACATAATCTTAACACAAGAATTAAAAATAAAATTGCCGTTCCAAGCTTCAGACTTCAGAAAACCAGAGGATCATTTCTGGGTAAATGCATTGCTATGTTCAATAAAGATCCTCAAAATTTAATTGACCTACCCATAAATAAATTTAAAATTCATGTAAAGAACATACTTATAAATAAAGGTTATTACAAAGTTGATGATTATTTTAAGGATCGCAATGCATGGAATTAATAACCTTCGCTTTGTTCTATAACGAATAATTATATGTACAATCTATGACCTACAGTCTTTGAAAGTTGTATTTATTATTGTGATAATACATATTATTTTGGAAATGATGTGATTTATGTAAATTTTATTACTTATGATAAAGAGCTGGTAAGTTTCTTTCGCTTGTTATTCTTGTAAGCTAAAAGACGTCCTGACCAAGTGGTAGGAGAAAAATTTTTTTTGGACGATTCAAATTCAAAGTGCTTGTAATAAGCCTACTTGATTAAAGATACGTTTATTTCATTTCATTTCAATTATGTATGAGATTATCTTTATAAAAGTATAGTATAGTACTACGTATAAGGAATGATGACTTTGTTAATAATATACATACTGCCGGCCTTTGGTTATTAAACCAGAAGATTCTTTTGCTTGCTTTATTCGGCAGGATTTGGTATGTGATGTCTACAGATTTGTTGTGTTAGTCTTAGTCGTCTTCTTCGGTTTAGTATATTGAATATAAATGTCGTCAGGGGATTTTATTCCTGGCCAGAGCAAGAACGTATTAAAAAAAGTGACGAAAAACGCTTTGTGTAGTGACTTGGAATATCACTAAACGAGGATGGTTACCCGCCGTGCGTCTCAATGCGTCAAATCTATTTGAGTCTGTTGAGTTTATATCCCGTTGTAAAGACATTGCTGAATAGCCAGGCTATGTTATTTGGACTCTATAAGCTTTTTGTCGCCAATCAGTTCCATGGATCATTTTTCCACTGTATTGTCTCGCTTCCTTGCATCGTTTTTCTCACTACTGAGAGTACTGTAATGGTCTCAATGAAAAATCATATCTTGGACTAAATTACGCCATTTTCCTTGATCTTTTGTTACGTGTACGGCTACGCCTTCCCTGTCTTTTCTCTTAGATCTTACCAGTGGCATGTAACTTTTTGAGGCTTTCTCCTTTCTTTCAGACTTCTTTTTACATTAAATAAATGAAAAAGACAGAGCATACAATGGAACGACAGTGAAAACGACTGCATCAACGTCACGGCAGAGCACGTCTCCCAGCTGGCCATGTTTCGCTGATTTTCCCTACAATACGGACAAATTCTAAATTTTGCTGAAAATAGGAGCAAAAAACATGGTATTATAGTTTTTTTTCCTTAGGCAGTATTATTTAATTGAGGTGAATCTACTTTGTAGTATTTATTTTCATGTGTCAAATGAGAATCATTTAAGTTAATGAGCTTCAACGATTTCAAGCGTGTTAAAAAGGAATTATACTAAATTATTATAGTTATAAAATGTAGTGATTATTTGTTTGCACCGGATGTCAGCTGTCAACCATTTTGTGTTTTTCTGTGGGGTAGAGTATAAAATGTGACTGTTTTTTTCGGTCGTCAATCCATTTTCTGTGCTCTGAAATGAAGCTTCTAGGATTTTTTTTGACTTTTTTGGCTTTGGCTTTTGCCGTTGTGGTAAGTTTATTTCTTTGAATAATAGGAAAAGCCTTGCAGATTTACAGTGAATTTCATATTTAATTTGAAATATGGAATAATACTCATTTTTATTTTCAAAATCATTTATTCAGTCTAGCAGCAAGCACTTGTGAAAGTTACGTTTGGAGTTTAAGCAATTTTCGCAAAGCCTAATGAGTGAACTCAGGTAAATGATCAAAATCATGAATGTTTCAGAAGGCATGGCAAACTCAAGTGATTTCGGATTGCATCGCGATATGTTAGTAGCCACCAAGTCACATTAGGATTTTTCATTTCATATCAAAATATTTATTGCATTATACATCTATTACTTTTGGGTCTTCGGCTTAAGGTGGAAACATATTAATGTGCCGTGTTGTTTCATACATTGGTATAAAAACTGATATGTTTCTGTCGCCCCAAAACACAACATATAAATGTGTTTCCGCTTTTACATAGGTGCACCAAGTTTCCTTTCAATCGATCCAGTAGTCTTGAAGCAA